TTCCCCGGGGGGGGGGGGGAGGAGGGAGGCAGGAGAGGCGAGTGCTGGTTCGCTTATTTAATTTCATTTACTTTCAGTGCATTAGCAGCATGGGGCTCCTCCCCCCCCCAGCCTCCAAGAAATGAGGCTGCAGAGTAGAGTTGTGTGCATGGTCCAGGAGCTCTCTGCAAGCTAGAGACCTTTCCCCTCCGCCCCTGCCCCATGTGCTGGTCCTGCAGGGGCAAACAGAACCCTTGGCGTGTCAAGGAGGATTCTGGGGAGCTAATGAGGGTCCATTCAAACACGCCCGGGGGAGGGTAACCAAGGCAGCATGGCCTAAGAGTCAGAGCACAGGGCCTCGAGCCTGGATCATCCATGCGTCACCCAGATCCGTCACTAGATTCACTGTATCCTCCTGCTCTGCCCGTCTCTCTGCCTCTCCCTGTACTCTTGGTGCTAGATTGTAAGCTCTTTGGGCCAGGGGCCACATACTCTGTGCGTGTTTGTACAGCCCCGTGCGCAGCGGGGACCTGGCTCGTCCCTGGTGTGACCACAATACAACGAATAAATACTAATGCCTCTCTTTGGGCGGGACGCACCGCCTCTCTGCGACTCAATTTCCCCATCAGTAAAATAGGAATCATACCGACCCTGTATGGTAAATGTATGTTATGTGACTGCTTACACACACACACACACACACACACACACACACACACACACACACACAGACGCACACACACACACACACACACACACACACACACACACACACACACACACACACACACTCCTGCCTTCTAAGACACAAGAATCCGATGTGGCCAATGTAGACGCGCTTTTCCGGAAAAGAGCCCCGATCGCCATTTTCGCGATCGGGGCTTTTTTCCGGAAAAGACTACTGGGCTGTCTACACTGGCCCTTTTCCGGAACAGTGTTCCGGAATAAGGACTTATGCCCGAGCGGGAGCAGAATAGTTTTTCCGGAATAGCGGCTGATTTTGTACAGTAGAGCATCGTTGCTTTTCCGGAAATTCAAGGGCCAGTCTAGACAGCTCGCAGCTTATTCCGGAAAAGCGGCTGATTTTCCGGAATAAGTGGCCCAGTGTAGACACAGCCAGTGAGGAGTAGACAATTTGCACAGGATCCTGGCAACCCGATGAGCGAAGTGCCATTGTGGCTGAAACACATAAAAAGAAGGTTGCTCTCAGATCTTCCCAGACACAGTCCTCGTAACCCACCCGGATTAGGTTCATGTCAGGGATAAAAAATGGGTTTGGAACGGCTGCCGTATGAAGAGCGATTAAAAAGACCGGGACTTTTCAGCTTAGCAAAGAGGGGCTAGGATAGAGCCCTATAAAATCGTGGCTGATGTCCCCAGCCTCTGTTTTATTCACACCCTTGACCAACAAAAATTCTATTGACAAAATGTAGTGAAGACAGGAGCCTAAGGTGTCCTGTGTAGCCACGTCTAGGTGTGGAAGTCAGTCTAACTTGTCAGTGCCTTGAAAACTTAGACTTGTTTATAAAAAGGGAATAAAATGCACAACTGCTTCACAGAAAATGGGGAACTAAATTGTCAGTGTGCATCATCTGAAACAGACCTTGTGCCAGGCTAATTTTACTGCATTTTGGGGGGGAATGGGGGGGGGGGGAGAAATAAGAAAGTAGATGAAACAAAGAGGTGGAGAGGGGAGGTGATTTACTGGGTCTTCAGTGAGAGTTTTCATAAGGGGCTAGTCAGCCAAGTTC